ACTAACATTCACAATTATTATGAAAACGTTGATGAATTAAAACAATAAATAAATTAATAATTAAAGCATCACATGACGACGCACACAAAACATTTATAAAATGTAGCATATGACATAAGCGACAGTTTAGTAATTAGTATAACGTTTAATTTTTAATGTTTTTAGTATCACCAGAATTAGGTTTTTGTCTGTATATTATTATTTATTCTAAATTTATAAAAGTTATAATAGTTGTTGACTGAGATTGTCTTCTAAATCCAGTCTAGAGCTGTCTTCTTGTCGCCATAAATTAGAATATAAAAAACACCCAAGATTAAACATTTAAATTAATTAAATTCTTTGTACGATATTTTCATATCATCAAATTTGTGCGTTGTCTCCAAACTATGTTTTAAAAGTGAAGTCATAGTATTCTGTCTGTCGTGATTATATTTATGTTCTTTTAATCTGGTATGTAAAGGTCTTTTTGTCTGGCCTATATAATTCATTTCACAGTTGTTACGTGAGATTTTGTATGCATATATTATTTTTTTTGTCTACTATATTAATTTTAATTTTATGGCTCGTAAACAATTTTTACATGTGTTATGTGGTTTGAAACAAATGTTAATATTATACTTTTTGAATAGATTTTTCGACAGCATGTATAGAACTGAGGTTATGAACACATACGTCTGAAACGTTAAAAAGATACGTAGGTATTATAGGAAAATTCATACAAATTCAGCCATATTTTCATATAAACAATAAAAATATATGAGAATATAAGTCCACTAAATGCCATTTAATGTCCCTAAGGTTGAAAAAATATATTGTATATATGTTCGGTGAACGTTTTTGCTTTACCTGTATAGGCTATGCAAATAAGACTAATAAAAAGGCTTACAAAGTCATAAAATCGTCCTTGTTTACTACTTGTATATACTTTTTTACAGAGCTCTACAAAAAAACTTCGTGTAGCATTACGTCGACGAAAACTAGGATACCTCCGGTACCTATGGAATACCTACTATTGAAGGCCAGAGAACCATCGAGTTCCTACCATTGGAACTATTATGAACCTCCTTAATTAACGATGAAATGCAGGTAAAATTTATAAATACAATACTTTCAAATATGTCCTGACAATTCAATTTTTTTGAATTTTCATTCATTTATTAGTTTCATTTTTCGTTTATTGTTTATTAATTTAATAAAAAACACGTGACGATTTAAAATCAGTTTATTTAAATTTTCAATTATACAAACTTATTTCATGTACATATTTCGCAGATGTCAGGCGTTTTGAACTTACAAAATGCGTGATACACATGGCCACACTTCAATCTAACAGTTTTTTCTAAAATAATGTTATTAAATGGCAAACCACATCGGGAACATTTCGTGTCGATATTAATTATTCCATTTTGAAAAATATTAAGCGACTTTGCTTGCAAATACTTCTTATTTAAAAAGTTCTTCAACAATTCATTAAACTAGAACAAATAAAAATACCTATCTTTATTTAATCAACAAACTATATAAGTTTATAGGAGCAAGACTCACACTTAGAAACCGTTTTGAATTAACACTAGATTGGGTCGAAATGAAATTTATAAAAAATTAAATTATAAAGCAACCGTGTGCAGATGGCGCAATACAAAGCACTTTCGTTAAGAAGATAAATAAGTCTCCATTTTGTAAAATATCGCCTAAGAGTTAAAACCGACTCAACAGTGGCAAGACGGACGACGCTCTTGCACGAAACGACACTTTATTCGGTCAGCTCCTTGACTCATCGGTACTTTCCGCTCGATTAGGGAGAGAAAGCCGATTCTTTGTGTGTAATCACGCCTCATTTGGCCAGTCTCGTGACTCGTCACCTACTTCCGCCCCACCGGTTCATTTACTCTTTTTACACACACCTTAGCAATAATTTTTTATAGAGCTGGGGCTGCAACGTAGAGAAGTAAATATTAGGAAGGGAGTCAGACAGGGACGCACACTGTCACCGCTACTTTTTAATCTATACATCGAAGACGCCATCAACATCATTAAAGACAGTACAACTGTAGGGATAGATGTGCAAGGGCAAAAGATTAGTATGCTTAGATTTGCAGATGATATAGCAGTATTAGCATCTAGCAAGGAGGACCTAGAGATAGCTTTAAATAAAATGGAAGCGGTACTGACAGATCAGTACTGTATGAAAATAAATAAAAGTAAAACTAAAATACTGATATGCAAGGGAAGAAAAAGTAGGGAAAGAGCGAATATAAAGATAGGAGACGAAAAATTAGAAGAAGTGGCTGATTTTAGATACCTAGGAAGTCAGATAAGTGAGGATGGAAGGAGTAGTAGGGATATAAAGCAGAGGATAGCGCAGGGTCGTGTCGCCTTTAATAAAAAGAAGTCACTTCTATGCTCGCGAACGGTTAATTTAGAAATTCGAAAAAGGTTGTTAAAGGTGTATGTTTGGAGCACGGCGTTGTACGGGTGCGAAACATGGACAGTGGGAGCGGCGGAAAAGAAAAGGTTAGAAGCGTTCGAAATGTGGTGTTATAGGCGGATGATGAGGATATCGTGGGTAGAAAAGGTTAGAAATGAAGAGGTATTGGAAAGAATAGGAGAACAGAGGACTCTATGGAAGTCAATAAAAAATAGGCGAGATAGGTTGGTAGGACACCTTCTCAGGCATGAAGGTCTAGTCAGAGACATATTAGAGGCAGAAACAGGAGTTAGGAGGGGTAGAGGTAGACCTAGATTAGATTACTGTTCGCAAATAGTTAAGGATGTGGGCTGTTCTAGTTTTAGGGAAATGCGAAGTTTAGCTCAGGATAGAAAAGAGTGGAGGTACGTGTCCAACCAGTCTTAGGACTGACGATCTTATGATGAGAGTAAAATTACTGATATTTCCAAAAAATAAAATCTTCGACCCACCTTCTAATTTTTATTGCACACACTGACACTCATCTACTGTATTCGTAATCAGAACAAATACTATTAAAAAAAATTATGAAAATATGCCTACCTCTCCTTTTACAGCATCATCTTCTTGGCAGTCATTTGCCAAATTCACAGCCTGATTTCTTAAGCCATCATGCATACCTTCAAATATAGTCGAAAATATGCACAACTTGTAAAACTTCTCGTCTAATGAATTCGGAGGAATAAATTTCGAATACCGTTTCAAAAGTCTAACAGCTGTTGGACCTCCGATAGATTTTACCAAAAGATTACCAAACGAAGTCCAATTCAAAATAAACTCTCGCATGTCTTCGGGGAAAGTCTTACCACAATTTAAACATATATTATTCCCTAATTTGATCATCATTTTAACTGCTTCGTCCCACTGGTCGTAGGTCAACTTAATTGCGAAATAGGATAATAATTCACTATCACCAAATTGCAATAGATAAGGCAAAAGAGAGACAACATCGTCATCGGCACGTAACTCTCTTAGAACGTACTTCAAAAGTGAAGGAACTTTTAAACATATATCGTTTATTTGCTCTGTTCGGTTCTTCCCCAATTTTTTTACAATTGCACAGCCTAATATAAAATACTTTATTCGGGTAGTATGAGCTATCGGTAACGGAAAATTACAAGAACAATTTAAATTGTCTTTAAAGTTAAGGGCAACGAATGACTCTAATAAGTACTGAAAGGCTTTAGAAGTTGAGTCCAAAGAATCGATGCTCTGCGAATTTTTTGAAACCCATTTTAAATACTGATTACTGCACCAAATGCGTGGGGTAAGATTTATTTCTTCAGAATTTTCATGAGATTCCAGATTAATAAATTGATCGAACATTTCGATAACTTCATCGTAAGTACTCTTAGCTAAAATATCACTGAACACTGGTAACTCTACACTTTCATGGACTAAATTAATTTTATACTGCTCTAACAATATCCTCATGGTATCCTGCTCTTCTTTAGGATTTTTATTAACTACCGTTACATCACAGCTCTCATTGGTTTTATCGTCGTGGATACTGTTATTGTCTGGAGCAATTATATTCACAGCCGTACTAAAGTTATTTTCAACTTTTTCTTTTAAATTTTTCGTGCTCTCGCTTATCTTTTCGGTAAAATTCGAGCTCATTTCTTTTATCGTTTGGAATGTTTTCTTATTTATTACGTTTTGATCGTTTTTAGGCCTTTCCTCGCACTTATCAATAACGTGATGGTCCACCAGATGGGAATTAAGTACAATCATGCCAGACTGAAGTCTTTGCGCTTTAATTTTGTTGTTATTTTCCTTAATAAAGTCTAACAATGGCAAGATATTGTGAAGCAGTTCTGTTGCATCTAATACTTTTAATTTTTCTCTTAAAGCGCTAAGTAAGTAAATTTTGTCAGAAGACTCCACAATGGTCATTAAATGTTCTAGATAGTAGGCGCAAAGTTCTGCGCATACGTAATACTGTCTATCTATTAATGTTTTTACAGCTAGATTTTCCACCGTCATCAAAGAAATAACGTAAAACTCGCTAGCTGTCCATACATAAATGAAATTCTTGTACAATTTTATGTCTTTTATCCGCTGATAATAATTAGTCCAATAGCACAATTGCACAGATTCAGGATCAAAAATATATAAGCCTTGTTCTAAGTAAGTGAAAATGTACCTATCGAGAAAGACAAAAATTTGTGCGAAATTAAAACTTTCTGGAATCATTTCTCTTGCATTATTAAATTCTACTAAATCCAAATGAGATTCTAAATTTTCATCTAAACGAACAATAGTCGTAGGAGGAACGACTCCAAGAGAACTTTTAAATTGATGAGTGTAAACCACGGAAGCGTCAAAATTTGCTTCCCATAGTCTAGCTCCAGGTCTTGCACAATAGATTTTAATATTTTCCAATGTGTTATCTTCGCTTAAAGTTTTTCCTACTGATTTACTGTCATTTGATGAATTTTTATTTAGAAAACAAGCTCCGTAATGGCCATCTCTCATTTTTTTACCGATTTGTCTATATTGCTCTTTTTCTGTATCACACAAATACGTACGAGTTTGGGTCGAAATTAAAAGAAATTTTGTAAAACAATCGATCTGGACAATGCTAGAATCCAGTTCCATTAATGATAGACATGGAGATTGGAACAAAACTTTTGCCTAAAAAATAAGCTAATAATTATCAATAAACAACCAGTTTAAATTGATAAATAATTAAAGCATATCATTTAAATATTGCGCCAATATAAGATGTCAATGAACTGTCAAAAGATGGCACAGCAATCAATAAGCCACAGACATATAATTGTATAGCGCGCGCCTTACATTAAAAAGTAGCCAAATTGAGAGAGTACATAAACTGGATGCCTCCATGTTTGTCTTTCATTGCAGGGGAATTGTCTGCCTTGACATAATGAATTTTCCAAATGAGCTTATTAAAATCGAAGGTGAATACAAAAAGCAGATACCATTGGGAATTTTAACTAATTTAAAACGTAAAAGATTTATAAATAAGAAGAAATCAAACGGGGACATTGTAACTTCGATTAATCTTCTTAGAAACCAGGCATGCTGAATAAAGAAATGCTCATGCATTAGAAGGCAAAGATAGAGAAATCTGATTCACCTGCTCTCTCACTCTAAGCCAACATTATTTTTTCAACTTGTTAACAGACTCTACATTTATACCTCTATGACATAGACTTCAGGAAGTATGGAAAACAATATAACTAATTGCAATTTGCAATTGATTGACAAATTAAATTATATAACTTGTTCTAAACATGAAACCACTTACAAAATTGTTACCCATGTCTGTAACTGATACTTTTCCAACATTATCACCACAATACAACTGATTTTCATGCCATTTTAAAGTGCTAATAATATTTCCTTCATGTTCAGTAAATGTTTTATAAAAGGTATTATTTTCAGTCATGAAATTTTCAACCATTAAAATTAAACCTTTACTACTTGCAACAGCTATAATACTTTCATCATGTGATATGCTTACAATAGTTGCAGCACCCTCCTAAAATAATACTGTGGTGGTTTAAACACAACAAATCTACATTAATGTATGTTTCCTATTGAAGCCGATCCAAAAATTACCTTTGTAGGAATTAATTTGATGAAATGACATGGTTCTATACTGTAAATATAAATTCCTCCACTTGTTGCCCCAAAAACAATTAATTTAGTTGATACATCGAAACAAGTGAACTGGAAAAATTTTAGTACGATTATCAACTAAACAATTAATAATTTAACAAACCTTTATTCTCTGAGTCAACTGAAGAGGCTGCTTAATAACATCATTAATGTTATTTGAGTATTGTACAAATACTTTCTTTTCGTACATTTTAAGAAGTTATTCAGATTTAATTTTTGGACCTCAACGCAAACAATAAAAACAAAGAAAAAACACACAATCACAAAAGTGAAAATAAAATCATTTTTTCATATAAAACGTAGTCAAAAATTTATTTAATAAGGTACTTTGCTATTAATGAACAAAAGAACTTTTAAAGGTTATAGTCATAGAGAAGTCACCATAAGTAGTTGCCATGTTTGCAAAACCCAATAGATTTATTGAATCCAGCTACAAGACATTTTCATAAAATAATTGTAATTATTCAAAATATCGTTGCAGAGTTTACACCTTCAGAATTTAATTGTTAATAAAAATTAGCGCCAGAATAATCTGATTTAAATATTATTCAATCTATGGTAAGTATATCTATGTATAAATATACATCTTCGTGTGTTCAGTTCTATGGTGTCAAATGATTAAGAAAAAGACATGTTCGTGACCTATCTTCGTGACTATCTATGATCGTGACGTTCCGAGTGCAATGAACAACTCAACCGTCAACAAATAAAAAAGCAGTCAAAAGTCAAAAGTAGCACTGAATTCCAATATAAATTTTTTTGTGATTTTGTTTTGTTAATTGCATAATTGTATTGAAATGATAACAGTAAGTTGTTAAATTAATGTAGTGCACTTCTTATATTTCGTGAATCTTATTCCAAACTAGCATACGTTGATGTGTTTTGTTATACCGACAATAAGTGACTAATGATATTTATTTATTGCTATTAGCTTGCGTTAATCAACAAAAATAACTAAGTACTAAAATATTGATGGAGCTGTCACTTTCGTCTGAAGCTCAAGAAACCATCGAAAAAATCAGAAAAATAACTGGAGGTGTGGGCACAAGGACTGCTGATTTAGAAAACTTATGTTCTTCCTATGGTGCAGATAAAATAGTAATGGATTTGCAAGAAATTATCAATATTGACGACATATACTTTCCAAATGATGAAACATGGTGAGTGGGATTATAATTTTATTTTTTGTTTGATTTGATTGTTTCTACTGTATTTATTTTTAAGGTTATATGAATGTTCGGTAAAGAATGAGGATGTTAAAGATCTGCACAAGTGGTTGTATGATTATTCTAATGTAATTAGATTTGATCCAAAAACATTGTCAGCAGCTATAGAATCAAAATGCCAAAGTATTAAAAATAATATAGATTCGAGGACATTTACAAGACCAAAGAAAAGATTTATGCGTCCTCGATTAGAAGATTACCAAAATAGTTTATACAGTTCAGAAGAAATATGTAATCTTCAAAAACATGATGAATCTGTAAATAGTAATTCTAGCTTTGCAACTAACATTTCTGAAGAAATTGATGTTGTTTTGGAAGAAGATATTGTGCCTAAATTAAATAATAAAACGATTCAAATTGATGCCAACATCCCTAATATTGTAACAATGAAATTGGCATCAGAAAACAATAAGACAGTGCCATGTGAGCCACTTAATTTTGATTTAAGTGAGCCTATCAAAAGCAATATTTTTGATAAAGTGTTCATGTCAAGTCAGTGTGCTGATTCTTTTCAAAACATGTCACCTCCTAGCTTAGTAAATTCCTTATGTTCATCAACATTTACTAACTGTTCATCCACCTTCACGAATCTAATGGAGAACAGTTATATCAAAAACGACCCTATATTAAGAGAAATACGTGATAGTGACTATTCTTCTGAAGTACTTCTGCAGGATTGTGAATCTCCAATGTTCCACTCTATTACAGGTAAAAAATACCAGTGGTTTTGCCTTTTTTCAGTCAAGCCAATAATTATCAAAATTAAAATTGAGGTAAATCTTTATACTATCTGTGAATTTATTTTACAGGAAGTTGTAGTAGTTTGTTCTCTGACACACCCGAAAGTTTTATTCAAAGAAATTTGGAGACAACATTCAATGTCACCCAAAAAAAGAACAAAAGCCTCAACAATACGTATGTAGCGCAAGTAGATGATGATCCGTTAAACAACACTTACTGTAAGGATGATGTAAATGATAGAACGCTGTGTGGTGATTCCAATAACAGAACTCTAATTTATGACAATGACACTGACAAAATAAAGCTACTTAATCGGAAAACAATACAAAAAGATTACTCAATGAATATGACAAAAGATGAAGCAAGTTTGCTCTCTGCCCATACAACCTATGAAACTGTCGCTTCAAGTAAGTTTTTCTCTTTATTGATTTTTATTTAAAAGAGATTACAGATACCACCATTTAAATAAAAATTAATTAACTTACATAAATTCACATACAGTAAAGTTATATAGCTGACTTCCGATTATACCGGAAGTCGTTATCAACTTTGATTATTTTTTACATTGTGTGTTAACTGTATGAATCTTAATTGTAGTTTAAAATTTTTAAAAGTCGCAAATGTCTTTTTAAATAATATATTTTTCCTTTGATTTATGATTCAGTTTATAATGCTACAAAAGTAATAAAAAAAATGAGCGTATGCTTATGACTCGCGATAAAAGTGAAAACTTATTTTCCAATTTTAAAATATACTTGTATAATTACATTTATTTTATACAATGGATTAGTTTAGTGAATCAAAAACAAGATAATATTGATATTGTTATATAAAATTATTTATTTGTATGTTTGTGAATTAATTATATTGTGGAATTTTGCTCTGATTGGGCTTCTTCATTGCTTTTATAAATCACACGGTGGCTGACGACTGGAACCGAGTAAACCCGATTCAGCGTCACCTTCACGAACCTGAAGCACATAGTGTGACGGTTCACTTACGTTCGGTTTTCAGCAATAAACGCGCCTGAAGAAGTTTTCACTTCAAGAATGTTACTTAAACATTTAGAATACACTGATATTTTTTTACACAAATTAATGTTATATTTTCAACATGAAATGACAATATTTTCTGTTCAGGAAACTCTTTTAACTCTGGCACATACGTCCGCAACAAAGCATCCTCAGAAAACACCACATTCGACACCAACACGTACCGAAAACCTACTCTTCAACAAAGCAACACGTTTCGAAAAAATTCCAGTCCACGTTTTGGTACCACTTTCCAGAAATCTTCGTCTCCCGCACACAACCATGCAAACGACGATGCTAACAACGACAACGACGATGACATTAACACAACGATGGTCGTACAACCAATCAACGACACCGTTATTATGACGAAAGATAATGAAAACGCGAAAATCCGACGGTTCAGTTACGTATTGGATGACAACCAACGCAACTTTTTCCCTGCCTCCGACAATTTAGGAGAGACTATTAATATAAAACGTGACTCTGTAGGTCCTTTCGGAGGATCGGAAGACAGTCTCGATCAGATGAGTAGTCTCTCAAGCAGCAGCAAGGGGTCTAACAAAATGCTCAATATGGCCGACGTCGATGCTATCGTACAGCAACAAGAAAGAAGTAAGGAATTAATTATATTATTTTTAAGTGACGTCCCCCTCTCAAGAATTAACAAATTGCACTAGATATAAAAAATTTTGCAACTTTGTTTTGTAATTTAAGCAATGTAAAAAAATGCAGTTACAATTATTTAAAAAAAGTTCTTATTCTAAATTATAAAATGAAATAGGAAGAAAAGTAAAATTCAATTAAAAAAACAGAAAAAGTCAATGAAATTGCATCTGCAAAAAAGTTGAAAATATTTTGAAAAGTCAACCAGTGCAAATAACTACGCGGCGACGATGGCTGCCTAGATATTAATATTCTCATGGCATTCTTTTTTCTGTAGGTTTGCAAGACATATCGACACCAAAGCCTAATACCCGTCATATAAAGGAGCTGTGGGACGGTGATGGCATATCCCCAATTACATCCTTGACGCAGCAGCGCAATCAGACCGCGTCCGATTCCGAAATAGAACGGGAAGACATCGGTTCGGGTAAATCTTCAACTGTTAAACTAACCTCGGTCGGATCGGATACAAGTTTGTTATCTGCGCGCAATCGACAACGTAATTTCGTAAAAAACACTAGTCAGCAAAGCCCAAAAAGAACGTCAGGGCGGGGCGACGATTTTGCAGTCACACCACGCCCAAAATTTCCATCTAGCAACAAAAACGTCAACGAAGGAAACGGACGAGAATTGCGAGATTCTTATACGAATTTGACGGGATCACAAACCAACCTAAACGGTGTACCGAGACAGTTGAAGGGCTCATATACGAATTTGAACCCTGTATGCGCAAGTCTGTTAGCTGCTGCCGCCAGATCAAAAGGTACAGCTTTGGTACCGGACATGAATCAGATGGATGTAACGAGGACGATGGAAGAACACGCAGGCAAGACAACGCACAGATTTGATGTAAGTTTTTTCATTAAGTACTTCTAAATGTGTGTACGCTTTTCTAACAAAAATTAGATCTTGTCAATCATCTATATTTTATAAAGAAAAAAAAATGCCTTCAAAATTCCCAAATTTCTAATTTTACTTAAAACGTCCTTCTAGTGTATGGACAGTGTCACGATGAACTTTTTCGATTTTTTTTATTGTTTCCAACATACAGATACATGTACCTTTCCTTTGGTACCACTCCAGACCATATGTGTTTACTCAATACTCGCTAAATTCTAATCTTCACTAACTGGAAACTTATGGTTTGGTACATGGTACCTAACACCACTATCTGATGCATATCTAATTTAAAATTTTCACATTCATTTAATTACAATGTTTTAATTAACAAAAGTATGTTAAGAATAATTTTTTTTTTATTTACATTTAGGATCTGCCGGCGTCCAAAGAAAATCAGCAGGTAAAAATTTTAGTTAACCAACCCAGCTCAAAAAGTAACCAAGTTAGACCTAGTGGTTTACCTAGACCTGTAAGCATGTGTGGTACAGGAATACCTAGACCTGTTTCGAGAATTCCCGCCCCTAGATCTAATGTTAGGTGAGAATGCATAATTTTATTAGTTTTAGCACTATTGTCAATTTTTTTTTTCTTTTTTTCTTAGTCTTTTTAGCCTCAAATAATTGATTAGCAATTTAATTAATGTCTTTAACTAGGATTTAAATATACATTTATAAATAGTGAATGACGATAGTTACAGCTCTAATTTAAAAATAAGCTTGAACGGTAGTCTTTGATATTATAAAACAAAACGCGTCTAGTCGGATGCGATAGTAAATATAACGGTTTCAAAAGCAGATCCACTATATGAAAATTAATACAGTATAATGTAAACATTGCGTAACGGAAATCCGCATAATACGAATAGTATATTGATTAAGCTAGACCACCGTATACCGTGCACAAACTAAACCTTCGCTTGTAGAAACGCATGTCTTTTGGCATTAAAATGTAAAACTGTTGTATTTTTCAGTTCACACAATCGAACGTATTCTGCATTTATTTTGACGTAAATCTTCGTCAAAAATTAATTGTTTTATTTCTTCTTTTGAAGCTATAAATATCAGAGACATCATTTTTATTTATTTTTCCAGTAATATTTACGCTTTTAAATTAAGATTTTAAATAGTTCTTTTACTTACGAAGAAAATATACCATAATGCACAGGCAAAGGACATTAAAGTTTTCTCTCTCACTGCCTCTCATTGACAACTTTTTGTTAATAAATAATTATTTTAAGCAGTTACTTTCTTTTTCGTGTTGTGTTGGTATTTATAGTTCTTCCCATTGTCCAATATTCTGCCTAATGAAATAATTATTATTATTTTTTTTTCAGACCCTTATCATCAAGGTCAGTTGCCAGATAAGACTTTTCAAAGTATAATCGTCATGGTGATATAAATTTTTTTTTACTAATTGCATACTAATGTTATGGTGCCTTAATATCTTCCTTATTAACCGATCGCCTAAATGAGTAGCAAGTACTGTAGCGTATAGTAGTAATTTTATATAACGATGCATTTTACGGCATAAAAAATAGCAATCGAT